GAACTGCGCAGAGGTCTGTGCCATCAGCGGGCAGGCGGCGCAGGAGCTGATATAAGTACATGACCGGACTGTGAATCACCTCTCAAAGGAGAAACCCAACTAGGGCGGATTCGTGCTGAGACACGCCGTGGTGGCGGGCCTGAGAAAACACAGTTCACAGTTTGCCGGCAGTGGTATCGGCGCATCGGCGCCATGAGGCAGCAAACTTCGTGTATCGATCACAAGGACAGATGTAATTACTATCTTGCAGACAGGGAAGGTATCAAAGTTTGGAACAGCTGTCATGAACCACCTGAGCGGACGTGCCAGAGTTTTGGGACGAACGGGGTGCCGAAGTTCACGGCCAGTTCACAGCCAACAGCCCGCTCACCAGGCACCCGCAGCAAAGCTTAGGACCCCCCTTCAACCCTCCAAAACAACTGCAGCCTCTCCATCGCCTGAAATTCTCCCTGACGAAAGCACCTCTTCCTCCGCGAATCGCTGCTTCAGGAATACCAGTTTGACGGCTTCCGCTTCGATGGTGTTACCTCCATATGCTGTGCGCGTCTGATGGGTGATTGAAGCTTTCATGTCGGTGATTTCGAGAGGCTAATGCCAGAGTCACCCATGTTGCAGTAGTGCGCAAAAGCGGCCGCAAAGAGTGGAAAGAATTGGGAAGAGCTTGCCATTCCACGAGACGGACTGGAATGATCACCCCCAATGGGTTGGATCATCACAGCTTTAGAGGTGGCAAATGGGAAGAATGTCACGGGTGGAGTTTGTGTCCATTTCATCCAGATCCACACAAACCGGGGGTGATCAGGGGAGCCAGTTTTCCGCCTCACTCTGGCATGTCACACTGTTCTTGTCAAACCAATTTAATATGGGCATTTGCTGGCTTTTGGCCAAGCTTTGACAGTACTGGCAAAGACCCTTCCAAGTGCAATCAGTGGTGCAAATTCAGCTGAATTCCGTTCAAACCGGGCTGAACGTAAAAGTGTTCTTTTTCTTCCAGAAGAAGGTCAAGCCTAGAGCATGCGCTGAATCCGTGCGGCTGAAATCAGAAATACCATCCGATTTCCCGAAGAACACCCGAAGAACAGTCGGCCCAGATGATTCTTTCTCTAGCCCTTTTCGTCGATGGCCCTTGTCGGCCGACTCCAGAGACTCAAAGTTAAAGCTCTCCTCCTCCCAAATCCGAAGTGGAGATCCTGAGATTGATACCGACACCATGTTGATCAGGACACGTTTTCTTGAAGCCAGCAACGGGAGCCATGGCGCGTTTGGGCGCTCTGCCATGTCAACTGGTCTTGCCGCAAGATGCTGCAGAGTTGAATCAACCCAAGGCTAGTGATATATTAGAGCCCTTGGAGGATGGTGCGAACATGGAGGATGATAGAACATGTTGCATATGTTTGGACACCAGTGCATGCAGCAAATTGCCGTGTGGCCACCAGTATCACGTTGCTTGCTTGGAAAGCTGGTTCGAACAGAGGCCCTCATGTCCAACGTGTGGGCACTTCTATGGGGATCGCATGGGCTCCATGCTGGATGGGACGATGTCTTGGAGCTCCAGCAAGTTTCGATTAGCTGGCCACAGCTGTCCCACGCTTGTCTTGCATTTTTCATTTTCCAGTGGATCTCAAGGTGGCCAGGACTATGATGGGCGCTCCCAGCATGCCTATTTACCAGACAACGAGGAGGGGAAGAAGCTCCTGGCCATGTTTCAGCTCGCCTTCCGGCGGCGAGTGCTCTTCAGCCTGAGTCCCTCTCTCACCACCCAACGCCTTCATCCCACCTTCGCCATTCATCTGAAGACCTCGATGACGGGTGGACCAGCCAGGCATGGTTTCTCAGAGTGCTAAAGGACCTAGGTGTGACCTTTATCTAACAGGCAGTAAAAGATGATCGACTATATTTGAGAAAGGCCTCTACTAATTACCATCATCGTGCACTGTTGCTGGCAATGGGACATATATATATATATATAGGTTTGCAATATATAGGTTTGCATTTTAATAGGGGGACCTCCCAACCAATGGATTTGGTCTGTTTTTGATTTTCCCAGAAGTCGAACTGAGGGGTCTCCCTATTCTAAGGCACAGCCATATATACTCAACTCAGACCTTTTTGCAATTTTTCATCCTTTTTGATTTATTTATTGGGGGACACCGGAAGAAACCACAGGCCTTACGTGTTCTTCCAACCTTTGGGCGGTCCACGCCCAGCTTTGGGTCCGCCGAGTTTTCAGAGGTCACCCCACCATTCCCGGTGGAAGAGTATGGGGATAGTCGGGTAGTTGTGGAGGCATCCTCCTTCCAAGGCTACCCAGATGAGCAATACTTCAACTCTGCCATGGAAGAGCTTCGGAACGCTGGGATTTCCCTGGAGGCTGCCACTCCCGTGGCCATCGGCCTCAACGCTTCACTGGCCAGTCGCATCAGACAGAAGTGTGGTTTCGCAGCTGAATCAGGGAACTTTGGACAGCCTCTTATTCTTTTTTGAGACACTGGACGATGTTGGTCGGATCTCCCCCTTCAGTTGAAATGATGTTGACAGCTGCTATTCTTTGCCTGGCCGAAGGAAAAGCAAGATCTATCATGAGGGACAATATGTGCGTATATGTGCGTAGTGATGCGCATTGCGCTCATCAGTTGTCCCAGAAGTTGATTCTCAGATAGCTTGATTCGTGGCTGAGGTTTTGTCTTAAGCCAAATCGAATCAAAGCTGCTGATGGCCTCCCTCATCATTCTCTGGATCACACCTCAGGGACGTGCGACCTTCTTTCCCTGCTTTTCGATCCTGATCGTCTTGGGCCTTCCGCCGAAGCCTGGAGTGGCCTGGTCCGCGGTCTTGTTCTTCACCTATTTTGGGACGACGACTCCAAGGGCTGATGATGAGGCACGACTCCAGTCATGCGGCGATTTGGTGATTTCATGTGATTTCAGTCGAACCCCCAAACTGAAGAATTCCTGCTCAAGATGGCAAGAAAATATCAGAAATGCAGGAAACAAAATACGGCCCTCACGCTTTGAGATGAGGCTGCCAAGAGCCTTTGGAACATCCAACATCTGACTTGACGTTTCAAAGTGCAAGCTGTCTATACCAAGGAGCAGCAGGCAGAGTTTAGCTTTGTCATGATGAGCCTGAGTCAATAAGTGGTACACTTTTCATCTTTTGATTTCAAGTATACAGCATCCATCGGGCGGCTTCTGGTTTGTGCTCACGATCGGGAAAGTCTGTTCTACCCAGACATGCTGTGCTCAATATCCTAGCAGTTCGCCTCAACCTTTCAAGGTGTCACGTCAGGTCTCCATGTCGTTTAGCCCTGGCACAGAGACCTGAATGGCACCTGAAGAAGAACAACTTCGATGCCCCCACCGGTTGGTTGAACGGTCATGGTGGGAAGAATTTCTGGAGAGGCTTGAGGCATCGGTCAGGCTACTTCATCATTTGTAGGTCGATGCCGAGCAGTTGCCATGCTGGCCTTGACATTCACATGCGGTCCTGTATTGCAGTATAGGGTTCTCAAATTCTGTCATAGAAAGCTCTTTGCAGACTCCAGACATCTACAGACCTCTCCTGGGCCCAGAGAATTCTTTTTTGGGGAGGAGCAGACCGTGTTCTCGTTCGACGGACTCAGGAGCATCATTCTCATCTCCTGGCTCTTCGCGCTGCTCAAGGTCCTCCTGACACCTCGCTGCAGCTGCTTCAACCGGATCCAGCGCAAGACCCGTGCCGCGATCCAGGTGCCACATGTGAAGCCACTGGGACCGATGCCATGGTGGGTGGGGGGCCGTGGCACGCTTGGGGTCACAGGTGATGGATCTGATCTCTTAATTAGAGAACCATACACTCTGAGCAGTTGATCCGCTACAGTGCAGCAGTTTGGGGATGACCGAGAGGTTAGAGGTTTACCGAGGTTTTCTCAGTTTCCCTCGCTACATGAGGACATTTCATTGGGATCCCAGGTGCCGTCCTGCGGTTTGTTCGCCGTTGGAGCTGTCCAGTCAGGGCTTGGAAGGCTTTTGTGGCTCCCAGAGCCCCTTTTGACCTAGGTCGGTTGAGTCACGTAGGGCTGGGCACAAGTTGGTTTGGAGGACATTTGGCATCTCAAAGCCTGAGTTCTGAGCTCTGAGTTGGTCTTTTAGACTGCAGTTACTTGAGTCACTTGAGTCTCTTTTGCCCCTTCCCCTTTTGTGTTTGGGATGATGCTGGGGTGAGGACTCTTTTGACCATCCTTGTGTTGCTGCTGGCGTCGGGCTATGAGACCAGAGCTGGGCGTATAGCGCTGGCCCTTTGCTCCATCCATTTGCTTCTGATTTGCATTTGCATCCCATGCCCCAGTTTCAGGACCGGGTTTTGCTCCAAAGACGAATTTATGTGCCTTGTTAATCTAAAGGATGCCCCCTTTCTCCACTCGACACGTCGCACCGGGACTGTCCGCTTCGTTGTTCGGCGCTGGGGTGGACGATAACCCGAGCGCGTCAGGAGCTCCATCAGCTCCTTTGGAGAACCGTTGGAGAACGAGATGGAAGAGGTACTCCGTCAGGCGAGGACTTGGAAGATACCGAGGGTTGGCTTTGACAGTGGGACTTCTCATGCAACAAAAATATGTTGATTGTTTATAATTTAGAAAACACTTTCTGACATAGCAAAAGCATGCAAACGCGTCACTGCGCAGAGCCAGCGCAGCCAGATGTTCGCTTCAAACAAAATTAGATACCACGAAGATCGTTGAATGAGTGCTTCACAACGCATAAACTCAAGAAAGATACCCTGGAATTGCATGGATTTCCCATCTATTATTGGTCGTGCAGTCATATTATATTGTGGTATATTGTGGTCGTCTTTGGCCTGGTCGAACATCATTCTGAGGACCTCATCACGGAACAATCACGTCGCTAAGCCTAGCCATGTACTGTGTTTCAGGTGGAATCCTTTCTTGAACAGTCAACAACTGAAACCTTTCTTTGTGACTCACAGAGAAACAACAGGGCTCCCCAGGGCTCGGCAGCAACCAAGTATGCAACCAAGTCATCACCCATGGAAGATTGGACGTGCAACCTTGGTGGTTTGCGGGAAATGTATTTTTTTTTTGCCAATAGAAACATCCTTTGCAGCATATCTCAGGCACTCTCCTTGGACGATTCGTTCTGCAAGCGCTCTCCCCAAGCTGAGCTGGCAGGTGGGGGCAAACCCGGAGCATGGCCTCAACAGCTGCAACGTCTTTGTGGATGCGAGCCAACGGGTTTTTGATGAGATGAAGGAAGAGCACTGGGCGCTCTATGCCTCAACGCCCTCCTTGCAAGGGCGTGCAGATATGAAGGCCAATGGCACATCAACAGAGAGCCCCCTAAAAATCTAGAACACCAAGACCATCTTGAGAGCTGTTCAGGAACAGTTTTTTGCCGCGCTAGCAACAGCACATTCTTGTGTCAGTGGCCAGTTTCATGCACCACCAGCCTGCTTTTGTATCGTGGATTGAGAGTAGATGGCACGTCATCCCCCAGTCGTGTTTGTTTATTTGGACCCCAGGGCACCGGTTCCATTGAACCCTCGGTTCTTCCCCTCCTTCCGCCTGAACCCTGTGGAATCCCGTTCACTCTTTGCATTACGTCGGAGGAGGACCCGGAAAACCTTGCAGAATTGGCGACGCCCCACTCAACAGGAAAGGAACAGCTGGAGTTCGTTCGGTTCACTATGTTTCCAGCAAAGCAGCTCGGGAGGTCAGGCGAGTCAGGTGGGTGGAGGTCGGTGATGTGTTTGCTCAATTTTGCCCGGGAGTCCTAACCCTGGAGTGTTCACAGGCCATCCTACAGGACTTCCTCCGATCGGTGGAGAGACCCTTGCGCTGCAGAGCCAGTGGTGTGATCCATGAAATGCTGGAGAACGAGAAGCGCTGGGCCAGTGAAGGCTATGTGGTCTTCTACCATCTCTATGCCGCCAAGTGGAAGATCTGGACACGGTCTCGAGGGGTAGAAATCTGCTTCGACGGGTATGAAACTCGAATTGTTCGTCCTCTCTGATTGATTGCCTTATACATCCGCCTTACTCGACTGGCTGGTTGACAGAGGACATATGTCTCGAAGAATGTTGAAGATCGTGGAAGTGTAGAATAGGGCCAATAGGCCAATAGGTATACGGATGTGTATGGGGATGGGTCAAAACCAGCACCATGTAGCTCAGTCACGTTGGGCAGACCATCCTACCGTTTCCTACAGGTAGGACGAGGTGTCCTCTTGAGATAAATCATTGGAGCTGCTGATTCCCATTGCTGCGGATGACACTGGTCTTCTTCCCCCCGGGAGGGTGTGCTTAGTGGTGAGTGGAATTTTTCTCAGCCAAATGGATCAAATTGATCTTTCGAGGCACATTTTGAAAGATGCCCCTGGCATCCCCTGGCAAATTTGACCAAGAGGAATGGACCCGATGGATACCCCTTTCGAGCCTAGAATGGGGAATGCCAACCTGAGGCACTCTCCAGTGTCCTGTACGAGCTTCAAACTGCTTTGGCGAACGAACTCTTGGACTATCCATTGGCTGGGCCACCAGTGATGCGGCTCTCACGCAGAGCCTTTGGAGACATCCGTTCGCTTTCACAGGTACTGTCCATCCGTGATCATAACATCAGCGATCGCGCGCACGAGTACCGCGCGTTGGCGGTGTCGGCCTTCTCTTCATGCTTCGCCAGTGGAGGATACACTCGCAGCATGCAGCGGTATATGATGCAGGGCTTTCCGAGCGGCACCAGCAACTATGTGAAGAAACTGATTGATGATTTGCTCTCTGCCGTAGGCATTGATCAGCCTGATGTGATTCCCACCCTGCGGTCAAGAATCCTGGCAGCTGGCAAAGCACAGGGCTTGGAGGCGCGGAGCAGCTCAAGAGGTCGTCCTGTGCGGCGGTTTTATGTGTCTGTTGCTTGAGACCCCAAGTCAAGGGTCATCCCAAATGCCCAGGTTGCTGGCTACGGACACGGGCAGACTTGCTATTTGAGTTGGCAAATCCCATGTCCGGACTGCCCCCGGAACAGTTGAACACATGGATCACCTCCCCCGGACGAAGGCATGTTTTCGTCTGAGGCTTTGGGTCAGGTTTTGCAAATCTTCCTCCACGACTCCGTGGTAGACGCCTTCGCCTATGGCTCCCAGCCCTTGGGGGCTCTGGCACCTCGTGGACTGCCAGTGAGTGCTTGGCTCCGGCAGCAGTGCCCCATCGAGGGCCAGGTCAGGCTGGTTCCTCATCCCGACCTCTTCCTGGCGGGTGCGACACCCAGAGGCTGGACAAAATGCTTGGAGGGTGAAAGGTATGATTTTTTACATCAACACGTAAAGGATGTCTGAACTTAAAAGTTCTTCTGGAAAACAACAATCACGGACGACTTTTTGAGGTCTGAACAGGGTGAGAGACCGTGCTTTCTTGCCAGCAGATCAGAAGTACGTATTTCTTGCAAGAAATGGGATGCATTTTATTCCACTATAAAACAACAAATTAAATATATATATATATATATACGTATATATATATATATACCGGGACACCCTAAGGGGCTTCTATTGATAGCCCCTTAGATGTTAAGGGGTGTCCATTAACCACCCCTTGTGGGTCTTGGTACAGGCACAAGTTTCAAGGGGATGCAGTCTTGCATTATCTTTTTCATTCAGAAAGCCACAGTTTTGTTTTAGTGACACCCACATAATATGGGCTGCCTTGGTCACACATTGGCTTTTGACTCACCCCCAAAGGCAATAGATGAGAGTGAATTTCCTTTTAAAGATCAAATTGGACCGGAACCAGGACTCAGAATGTTTGTTGATCTTTAAGTTGCTCTCGATCCGATGAAATTTGGTCTCGCAACTTCTTGGACTCTAGACTCTATACATGTGTTTTTTTTTCAAAAACATATGTTCCCGTTTGTGAAGAGACACAAACTTCTTCGCCGACCTCCGCGTCGGCGCTTCGCGGAGGTCCTTTGGTGCGGATCTTTGACCATTGTCCCTCAAGGCGGTGCGTCGGTGTCGGCGGTGTCAGCGCCGCGTCGGACCGTTTCTATCGTTTCTTCGGACACGGGGTAAAAGGGGACGTCGAGGCCTTCGGTTTCTGTTTTGAAAAGGGGTTCCTTTGGCATTTTTAGCATCGAAATGAGGGGTCTCTCTATTCTAAGACATACATCGCTGCATCATCCAATGCATTAGCAAAGACGTCTTCCAAATGCTTGTTCGTACCTTGGCAGGGCGGTCAGGGTGGTTGCTGCGGTCAGAGACTAGGTGTGAAGACGTGGGTATGGCGCCAGATATGGGTAAACAAACCAAAGCAGGCTGATCGTGCCATAACCATCACAAGGCTGACTGGCTGGGACAAGATGGGCCAAGCAGTTTGGAAGGTTCTTTTATCGTGTTTCAGTGGTGCTGAAGCTCTGGCACCACCAGCTGATGCTCCAAGAGACCTCGTGGATCCACCACACACCACCAATCGTAGGATTTGGATATATTTGGATGGATTTGGGCAGATTTCCATGGCTGAAAAGCATGGCTTTCAGCATGGCTTTCCTCAGACATTTGTCTCATCAAAGGTTGATTTCGTTTTCTGACGTGTTTTTGTTGGGGGGGCTCGATCCCGAGGGCCTTGCAGAAGGTGGCCCTCCGACGCGAGCTGCAGTCTTTGCTGCGGCCCTACCTGAACATCGAGCGAGCGCGGCAGTTGTTGGGCTTCGAGTTGACCAGTGATGTGGCGACGAACACGCTCGACGCTGTGGTGTGACATCGCAGGAGGCCGTGACGGTACGTGCAGGGCGCACCGCGCAAAAAGGCGGGCGTTGGATTGGGTGGGGTTTGAGGATGGTGGCAGGTCATTGCGTTTGGTCGAAGGAGACATAGCTTGTGCGGCAGGTCATTGGGTGCCAATCACCCATTCATAGTAATTAGATAACCAATTAGATAACCCGAAGAACCTTTTTGGAACATTTTTGGGGCACCCCGCTGACAGGCAGGAACAGGTGGAGTTCGTTCGGATTCTTCTTCTTTTTTTTTCAGAGAAACATGGAAAAACGGTTCCTGAATCGGGAAGAGATTGGACAGATGAATCGCTTTGTTTAGTGTGTTCGTGATTTGGTGGTCATCACCTGATCCCACGTCTGAGAACCAGGTAGCTTCTGCAGGCCCCTGTGAAGGGGTCGCTTTCAAATCCGGACAGTCTTGTACCATAGCTTGGCAGGGAAGCAGAGTGAACTTCAAAAGCATGTTCTCTCTGATTTCTTTCCAGCCATGACTTTTTTCAGGGCTCCTGTCGTCCCAACTGAACTGGCATAAAAGAGGATGTTTGTATGGAATGTTTGGATCAGGCGAGTTAACCAAGTGACTACAGATGTGGTGAGGTCCCACATTCACTGCACAGACTGGTATTGTCAACACAGCAGACTGCTCCTGAAGTCAACGGCAGGAGATGGCTGTTCGGCAGTTTCTGGCCACTAAGCCACATGGGCTTTTCACCCTCATGTTTGGCTTACAGTTCGCCGCCATTTTTGGACATCATTGGCGGTCCATGGGGT